GTACAGTTCTTTGAGGCTTCATGTCCAGCTTAATAACTGCAGGCTCGGAGAGAGGCCGGCAGACCAGCTGCATCTTCTGGGTAGCCCGCTTACGAGGTCAAACCTGTAGAGCCTTCAATCCTGAAAAACCATGTGTTACCTTGTATCTGTTTATTGTGTTTCATAGTAAATTCCAGTGCAACTGCAAGGTTAAGAGTATTGACACCGCTTAGTATCACTTTAAGAATATATACACACCTGCCATTAACGTTGATTCAATGGCCCTGTCGGGAGAGATGCCTGCCCAGTAGTTGTCGGTGAGTCGGACCACGAAGTACCCCTTCTTGAACTCTTCTCGCAGCTCCTCGTCGAGGTTGTCCTCCATCTCTTGCAGAAACCAATAGAGGGACTTGGTGTAGTTTGTCCTGCCTGCAGCTGCAAAGTAGGGCAGCATATCGTTGAGACTCTTCAGATACATGTCCCAGTTCCCGGTTCTCACCGCTGCCAGTTTTGTGTTGAAGACGTCGATCATGTCGACATACTCCAACCAGAGCATGTTGGTCTCCGACAGCTGCTCTCTAATTGAGTTGAAGACATCCACCAGCGTGCTGATGATTGTGTTGTCCTGGAGGATGTCTGTAGGGGTGTCGTCTTCCCTGTAGCTCTCGTAGAGAGCAGCTGCCGCATCTACAGCATACTGGTCCTCGTCGGGAATCTGAAACGAATTTCTTGTCAGTTTGAGTAAGCATGAAACATATAGTTCATAAGTTCGTATAACCATAAACAATTGAATAAACGGCTTCTTGTTTAAAGTCTGACTCTGTACCTGTTTTAACACGATGGTTTTTAGGACTGTGGTGAGAAGATCGTGGCACCTCACGGCTCGTTCATACGCCTTTCCCTTTAGGATCGTGTCAACTGTCAGCTCTCCATAGATGGTGCTGAGCAGCTCCTTCAACCCCGTGTTCTTCATGAGAAAACCGACACAGGCGTGAAATGTCATGGCTGTGTGGAAGTTCCCCTTTAACAGAGTCAGGTTCTTTAGGTGATCGTAAAGCTTCTTCACCATCATGGCCTTCAACCACAGCGGTTGGTCGAACGTAATCACACACTTAGTGTTCTCCCGTTCACACATGCTACTGATGAAGCACAGTGTGGTGTAGATAGTAGAGCTGTCGGACGGGTTCATATTGATGAATGGCAGGAATTCCACATTATAGCTTCCCGGGTGCTTATTCTTGCGGGTTAACAACTTCATATTTCCAGAAAATTCCGGAACCGGCTTCGTTAGCTTTGCTGCTATCCGAAGGAAGTCAAGGTTGGTGACTCCTCCAAATATTCCTGCAGAAGAGTGAAATGTCCCCAACCCTCTCAGTGTAACCCTCACCATTGCTTTGTCAAGCTTGCCTATGTATTTCACAGGGACTGCCTTAGCCCTTATAGCTGCGTCGGAGGCCCCTATCTTCTTGATCTTCTTGATGTCTAGCAGTGTAGCTGTCTTATCGGCCAGAACACACTTGATTATCCCCATCATGTGCAGGGTGTTTTTGCCGTCCAGCGTCCTGTTATTAACATCTGCATTGTCTCCAGAGTAAAGAGGGACCTCGTTCAATTTACTGTAGCCCGTCATGTCGTGAAATATTAGATCTCGTGCAAAGCGAATCACTTGAGCATACTCCCTGCATAGCCCCATCTTGTGAAGTAGATCGACTGCAAACTTAGAGCCGGTCTTGTGGTGTATCTCTGCAGCCAGTGCCAACTGCAGTGGTGCTATGATGGTGTTTGGTCTAGCAAGCTGGATTATAGCCTGACCAAGCGTGGCATAGACAACAGGAAGGTCTTTGTTCTTGGATTGGCGTGGAGCGAAACCCTCCAACAGCTGCAATAACGATCCCGGAAGCATTGCTACAGCGTTGTCTCGCTCAAGATCACTGAAGGAGAAATATTCAGTCTTGTCTGAAACAATGTCTGCGATGTCACTTTTGATGAGATCACTAGCTAGCTTTATTATCCGCTTCTTCTCCTCTTCAGTGCTCCCCCTCTTCTCTTCCTGGTAGTGCTTCTGGAGGATGCTTTCCGCCGTCTGACTGAAATAGACGATTGAGGAGTGGTGCTTGTTGCTCGATCTCACTATCTTAATCGCGGTCCCGTAGTTTGCTTCGAGCTTGTTGAGGAAGTATCTTTCTCCGTAGATATTGTCGGTGTACTCCCCCATCTTTTCTTGTAGCTCTTTGCACGTGAAGTACTTGTCATCGGAGTTTTCCTCCATGTACTCAACTAGCCGAAGAAAAGCTTGCACTTGTTCTGATAGCTTTGCTTTCTTTGAGTCGGGTTCAGAAGACGTTGTGAGTCCAGGCCTGAAAATATGGCCGTATTAGTCAACATTAGTCATCTTCTGATGATGTTCGAGTGTAAAATTTATTTAATCGATAATTCAGTCTCCAGTAAAACGAAATTTATAGAAATAGGTACCGTTTTCTTCCGTTCGAAAACTGTTGAGAACAGGTCCTGTGGTAGCAGGCATCCTCTGCTCTCAAGTCTGACACCGACTCTACCCTGCCCCGAATCTCGGTAGCCCAGTCATCGTCTCGGTCTAAAAACGTAGTTTTTGTTATACAGCCGTTAACTACTTGAACATAACCCAGTAACCCATAGCAGCATGCTTTCTTTAAATGATTGGAAGTTTTAATTCTATCATTAGCAATGTGAAGGCAAAGCTAACACATGGATATCACGCCATACCTTCTAGTTGCTTTCTGATAGATTTGTCAAACCAGTTCTTGCTTTCGACGAAAGACACGTTCGAGGCATCGCTAAACCCCCGTTTCTTCTTGGTAACGCTTAGTGGTTGAACTTTCTGATTTCTCTGAGAATAAAAAATAAGTTTAAAAGTTGTTAACTTAAATACAATATGGAATCATATTTTTGATACTACAGTGCAGTATTAATTTTTTTTTATCGAATTAGGTTTCAATACGAAGTTGTTTACCTTGTCTGAAACCCATTCACAGATCTGCACTCCGCAATACAGGCAACATATTCGGTAGTCAAACCGGGTAGTTGTTGATGAGGACGACCCCCCACTCGTAGTAGAGCTTAGCGAAGCCGACGATGCAGATCTGGTTCTTATCTTGTGTAGGGAATCTGTTGAATGATAGAGTTAGCTGGGTGATACACTGGGGGTTACTTCTTGATAGTAGCAAGCTTTAGTATAGATGAAACCAAAATCTAGTTAATAAGTATTGATAGAACCCACCTTGAGCTTTACTGCAAATGTCCGTTGAGTGTCGGTGTGCAACGAACAATGCCATTCTGCAATTAGAATGGATCCACAAGTTGTGGTTGCTGAATGCTGCAAGGACTCTGCTGTGTAGCACCTTATCATCGAGGTCCTTGGCGTACATCGACAGTGTATCCTTCCCCTTTTTATAGCATCTTTGTAGCCTGTTATCGTTTAGGCAGCAGGCACTGTACACATAGTGCAGGCACTGTAACAAGGTGCCGGGCCGTGGCCGGGACATCGTGGCCGGATCAGCGTGGCCAGGACATCGTGCATGACTTGATATACGGGACACGGCTGACGCCGGGTTGTTGCCATGGTCACTACAGGGGACGGCAGCGTGTAGCGTTCCAATGCAAACACATACAGAATGTACCAATCGGTCGTAGACACTGCGGCTCCATCTTATGATAATTTTTATATTTTTTGAAGCATAGCTACGGGCGGTGGAAGAGCAAGTATATACTGTACTGACACTGTACTGTACTGTACAGTGTACTTTTGCACTTTATTTGCGGCACTATAGTCTGTATTTTATTATAATAAATCTTATAATAATTCAAGAGTGATATTAGAGTAATATAGAGAGATCTATATAAAATTAGAGCTTAATTGAGCTTAAGGGTGGGTTCTGAACTCCAATGACAAGTATAGACCCCTCTACACAGACAAGGCAGTGGCACCTCCCAATTTGCTTAGATCCATTAGCTGTGGGTGTACAACTAACTGCTCTTCAAAGCGATGTGGCTGCAAGCAGCTTGACCTCCAGTGCACTGATTTCTGTGGCTGTGACAACTGTGAGAACAAGACTGTAAGTTTAACCGGCAACCAGGAAACCGGAGATGATGAGGACGAGCAAGGATCGGTAGGGGACGCCGAAGAAGATGTCCCAGAAGATTGAATTGACGATTGTGATACAATAGTTCTGTTAAAGGACAAATTATATTCTATTGTTTGTATTAAATCAAATCCTATGTGTATGATTCTTTATCGAGTATCTTCGGGTTGTTGAGTTCGTAAAGCTTCATAATCAATACTTCTTTAAATGTAAACAGTAACGCGTATGATTATTAATGATCGATCTATAACACTTTTTAGGGATGAATCATACTTCTGAGTGTTTAAATAACACCAGAATTCGATCGGGCATCCAAAAAAAACCAGAAAGCATACCTAACATGCCATATGTCAGAAAACACCGAAATTTTGGTACGCGACTGAGCTTAATTGAGCTTAATTCGTCAATTAAGCATTANGCACCGATCCGCCGTCATTCCCGAACCAGCCCACAGCTATTCCCGCACCGATCCGCCATCATTCCCGCACCGACGCGCCGTCATTCCCGCACCGATCCGCCGTCATTCCCGAACCGGCCCACAGCTATTCCCGCACCGATCCGCCGTCATTCCCGCACCGGCCCGCCGCCATTCCCGCACCGATCCGCCGTCATTCCCGAACCAGCCCACAGCTATTCCCGCACTGGCCCGCCATTATTCCCACACCGACGCGCCGTCATTCCTGTTGTCGTCCTGCAATCATTTCTAAGTCTATCCCTCTCAGCATTACCCTTGCATATCCTGACCTCTTACTGCCATGCCTTTCCCACCAGAATATTGTGTCTTCTCTATCTAGCCCTATACTTATCCTCAATATCTGTGTGTCAACCCCAACGTGCACTATGTCTGAATATTGTTATACTTGCTGGCTCTTGCAGAGTTGGCTAATGCCGGCAGGCCGTTGTTTCCGGGAAACGACGTTAATGACCAGCTGAAGCGCATCTTCAAATATCCTTTCTGTATCATCCTATACCTCGTGATGTTGATTAACCGATGCCTGATGCAGAGGTTTGCTGTCAGCACTCAGCAATGCTGGTAGACAGCAGGCCAATTTGGGTGCAGTCTAGATAGAAGCAGACGTCAACTCGGCCAATGCAAAGTTTTATGATAACCGTTTGTTAGACTTGATGCATATAAAGCACACGTGTATTTTTATACATTGAGATAAACCAATAAATGTTTAAGAGTGCCCTTCTGAGTTGAGTTTATATAGTTTGGCAGCTGTGTGCCTGTTGCTGTAATGAGCCTTGACAGTTTCACGTCATTAGGAACTCCTACAGAGGACACCTGGCCAGGAGTTGCCCAACTTCCAGACTATAAAGTGAGATCAGCATTTTGATATGGATCGATACAATTTTTTAAAATCTCATTATTATTTCAATTATCAAGCATCGAGAATTGAAAGTGCATCCGCAATTAGCCAGGCTATACGTGTATAAAATCCAAATAATCGCATCATTGCATTTGCATAGAATTTGTTTCATGTAGCTGGTAAAACTGTATGGAGCCAGCTGCAATAAACTGTAGTCACACGAATCTAATTACTGTCTATCCATTTTGTTAATGCTGCGCAATATTTTAAAATCCCATTATTCAATATTGATTTTTTTAAATAAAAAATCTGCCATATTTATAATGTATATTATATAATATACATTTTGCACACCTGCATGTGTGCATAGACAAATAATTAATGAAACGATGAATAGATTTCTTTTCCAAATACTGTGAATTCTGAATATATCTGAAACTCTATTGTTGTTTATGCATGATTGCTACCAATCTTGGTTTTCTTTTATAATTTCAGCAATTTCCTATTTATCAACCAACAATGTCGTTTTCACAAGTAGTACCAAAGCTTTCAGCAAAAGGTAGAGATCTCTTGCAGGTAAGTTGTGGCAGTCAGACCTATCACGAATAATACTGTAGTGTTGATATCTAAATCATACTTTTCATATTTGGAATATTGGGTCTTATTGGCAATAGCTACCACTTGTAAAATAGAGGTCAGTGGTCCATGGCCACATTTCAGACATTTACAATGACGTGAGCTAACATACTCAGTTTACTCAGTTTAGTCATACTCAGTTACTTAGTGATAGACTTTTTTTGTTAGTAACTGTCCATTTATTTTTTATCCTCTATATGAGCACAATGCATGCCCATAGTTAAGCTAGGCTAGATCAAAGGGTGGCTAGAGTAAAAGGGTCAGAAGTGAAGTGCTCAATTGCTATTGATTCCAGTACACAAATTCACAGTTTAAATTCAAACTTAAAGGGAGAGTTTACTCTAGGTTCTAGGGTTATTTTCAGCTAATTTAGGTTAAAATTACGCTACATAAAAAGTTTCATGGTTCAATCACCATTAGAAATATTATTAAAAAATGTTTTAAAACCAACGACTACAGTTTGATTACAACGACGGTGGCGCCACTCAAAGCGCACGATCTGATAAGTTGCGCAAAACCACTTTCCAGCCAAGGGCTACAGACCGAGGGTGTTTCTTATTTATTCATTTAAAAGCAAAAGGATTGTAATATCTTATAAACGACATATAGTTTCAGTTATAATATGGATAAATTTGCCCTAAAATGAATATCGTTCGGTTAAATAGTATTTAGGTATAAATATAATTGCACTTTTGTGATTAGCCCTCGGTCTGGAACCTGCAAAATAAATTGTCAAATACGCAACTTTTTCGGGGTGGCAGCACGGTCGCGGGTATCATGGCGCCGTTCAAATTTCGTAGCGTTGATGTATAATTAATTATAACAATTAAATTAGGTATCTGGTAACAAGTATGTGTGGGTATAGACGATTTGTTATACAGTAAGTACAGTTGTATGCAGTAAAATCCTAGAGGCTACTGTCCATTTAAGTCTTAACATATTTTCAATCATTTGAAATATGACTTTGATCAGCTGAATTGCATTCTATAGAGCCTAGTGACACTACCTACTATCATTAGTGGTCTGGGGTCTAACAGTATTAGTAGTGACACCAGCCACAGCATTGGAAGGAGCAGCAAATCTAGCATATCTATTCAATTAGTATATTTGTGTGTGTGCGTGCGTGCGTGCGTGCGTGCGTGCGTGCGTACGTGCGTGCGTGTGTGTGTGTGTGAGTAAAATGTAAAGACCAATTTGTTGTTGTCTATGGTGCCAATATTATCAAAATTTATAGTCTACACTGTATGCTGATGTCTCTCATTATGTCTCATAAAGTTCCACGATGTCTTACGTAATTTTATGTTATGTTATCTCTCTGAGTGCAGAGCAGGGATGCCTTCATTGCTGCTGGTAAATTCTCAAGTTCTCACTATGCTATTTCATCCCATTATTCCGTCTCGTAAGTACGTGTGTTGTCGTCTCCATCACCAATTGACGTTTTATTTTGCAATTTATTTGTTTGTGGGTGCATTTCAGCGGTTGCTGGTGTGCAACCCAGCTCATCGTATGTCAGCCGAAGATGGTATGGCTCACCCTTACTTTTATGATCTCAACCCTGCACTGAGAACGTAGCACGGATGCAGCACACTTGCCATCATCGACACCATCATTTGCATCTTTGTATATGAACTTCAACCCAACATTACAGCAAAAATGCGAGGAAATAAATATTTACCTGCAAATTTTTACAGGTTAAACCCGGGCATCTGTCTAGAGAAGCATATTACATCTGGTTCCGTATCTGCAAGCTCTATAAATTATATTGGAATTTTTAAACCGTCACTTTCAGATAGTGTACGTCAAATATGAGGTATATATTACTTAGTTGTTTTATAGACAGTGCTTTGAGCTTTTGATAGTTATACTGTGTCGAATTGATTCTGAGTGTAATTGTGGACGAATTTCCAACTTCTCACAGATGTGTTGTTAAAATGTATAAATCGTTTCTAATCGATTTGAAACACTGACGTTTGCATATGTAAAATACTTAATGTTTTGTTGTAAACAGTAGTTACGTCGGTGTAGTCATTCATGTACAATGTAGTATAATGTGGTTAGTGTCGTTGCCCTCAGACGCACAACTGGTCATGCGGAGTGCAAGTGTGCTGACGGTCGCTATTCGTGTCATCTGTAGTTGCTCGTTTAGTGAATTCTCTACTTGCTTGTTACCATGGTTTCTAGCTATTTTATCAGTCGTTGATTCTGGTCATGAGTGATCGAGTAGTACATTCCAAAATTTCTGTAGAGGGAATGACGAGACTGTAGACGCCAGCGAAGTTCGCGATGTCGCAATTTGTTTTACAGCAGACGTTTGGAATCGTATTGACGGCAACAAATGAGATTTGCGTTTGGGGAAATTTATACAGCCGTATATAATATGCAATTACTTATGACGTCAGCACTTTATAACTGATTGTTTATTCGTCTTTACTGCTGAATTGGAGATTATGTATGTCTAGCTTGATGTAGAGATAGTATAAATTGAAGAGATGGGTAAGATCGAGTAAGAAGCACAGAGGGACCATATTTAATCTAGTCATGAACTTCATTCCTGTGCTAATAAATGGTTTAGTATGAATTTTGTTAAACTGTTGTATTTGTTTGTTATAATGTTGTTGTCATCACTGTTATGGAATTTTTACAGTATAATACCAGCACAGGATGAACCAAATTCAATATTATCATATATGTCTATATGTGGAACACACTGAAATACCATAGCTCTTACATTCCAGAAAATATGGAAGTATTTTGTAAGTCCGGCAGTATCTTCATTGCACTATGATACTGCAGAATCCTAATGTGGTTGCCATGTGATCTAATGAATGTAATTTACAATTCCTACTATTAGATTGTGAACCAGCCAACATTTCCTCTAGTTATAATCGTGTACATGTAATCAGTAAGTGTTCTGATTGAAAATCACTGCTAAATGAATAAATATGAAAAGTTACTGAGAACACATACATCTCTGTGCGCACGTTACCAGTTTGCTATTTTCCCGAGCAACTTTTAATTCGTTATTTATACGGGATATGTTAATAATGCTATGTTGTAATATTAGCGCGTTTGTATAGTCGTGTATGGCCATGTCATGGTCGTCACATAGGTTTATCCATGTGGCAACTTTGCGTTGCTCTATACTCATCTTGTCGTAACATACATACACGCGATGACATTGCGTGATTCGACAGAGGATGTGTCATTAGTATAACTGTAATGTTATCGCCTGTGCAAAACCATGTGTAACAAACTACCGTGTGTGCCGCGTAATGATGTCATCAGGAGTGAATAATAGAGAGTTCTCTATTATTCACTCCTGATGA